GCCGTGGAGTCACCCAATGCTCGAACTGCCTGCTGTTCGGGCATGGAACGAAGAATTTGCATATGGTCAGAGTCCCTGCAAGCTCAAGCCAAGAGACGACCGCTGCTCCAAAGCCGCAGGATCTTCCCACAGCCCCTGGGCTAAACTGGCGTCAGGATGGACCGTCCCTACCGCAGCCAGAAATCAACGATGGTTCGTGGTTCACCGCAACGGAACTAATCATCATCTTCCTCAAGATTCACGACATTGCCAACACCATCAAGAACAAATCCGACCAGTTCCAAGCTGTGGCTACCTTCATGCTAAGTTATGGACCGTGAAACCATCAAGATCGCCAACTGGAACACTTGCTCGCAAGATCATCCTCAACAAACAAAACATCGACATTGCCGTTATCACCGAAACCCACCTGAAACCGGAGGTAAACATCTACCTTCCTGACTTCCGGCTTCTAAGACATGATCGAACCAGCTCCGGGGGAGGAGGAGTGGCCATTGCTGTAAGGAGAGACATCTGCTGTCGGCTTCTACCGAGCTTCCAGCTAAAAACCATCGAAGCCTTAGGGGTAGAAGTCTCCACTCCTGTCGGCCCTATCACCATCATTGCGACCTACTGCCCCAAGCAAGTCACCATCAGGGACGGGTCGGCAGCAGACCTGCGGAGGGACATCATCAAACTAACTCGACGGCGCGAAAAGTACATCATCGCTGGCGACCTGAACGCCAAACACCAGGCTTGGGGCAACAGTCGACGCAACCAAAACGGCACCATCCTGAACGACGACCTGCAAGAGGCTCGCTACGATAGACATCTTCATCAGAAACATGGGAGACAACATCTCGCTACCTGTCACCCATCAGGAGCTGAGTTCGGACCACTATCCGGTGGTGGCCGAAGTAGGCTCATCCGTCAACCGAATACAAGCTTCCCGACGCAACTACCATCGTGTCAGCTGGGAGCAGTTCCAACACTGTGTCGACTCCATTGTCGACTACGGTGTCCTTCCGGAGACGCCCGAAGACGTTGACCAGTGTCTGCGTTCCATCGAGGAGGCGATATCCCGGGCCAGGGACCAACACGTGCCAGTATCCAGACAGATGAGCAATACTCTGAACCTTGATAGAATTACCAAAGATCTCATCAGACTCCGTAACTCCATCCGAAGGCAATACCAGCGTTCTGGTTTACGTGTCTTGAAGACCCATTGCAATCGTCTTACAAAAACCATCCAAGCCTGGTGGACCTCAGAAATCAAGATTTTGCTCCCAGATTGTGCAAAGCCCTTCTGGAAACTAACGAAAATCCTTAAAAATAAGCCCAGACCCATTCCACCACTGACCGCACTGGATCGTCCCGGCGACCCAGTGGTTCATCTGATAACTCCTGAAGAGAAGGCTGCCACGATAGGTCAACACTTCGTCAGCTCCCATAATCTCGGACAAAACATCGTCAGCCCTCATGAATCTGAGGTTGCTGAAAATACAATCAAATCTTTGGCCTTTATCAAATCATCTAAAAACATGAAGGCCCCAGGTTTCGAAAACATCCTGAATCTGGAACTCAAACACTTGAGTTCCAGACTCTACAACCATCTGGTACTGATTTTTAATCAGTGCCTCAGACTTGGCTACTTCCCCTCGTGTTGGAAGTCAGCTAAAGTCATATCCATCCGGAAACCTGGGAAGGATCCCTCCTCTCCTTCAAGTTATCGACCAATCGGCATTCTCTCAGGGTTATCAAAACTGTTCGAAAGAGCAGTCTACCACCGGCTCCTAACATCTGCCGAACAAAACAACATCTTACTCGAGGAACAGTTTGGTTTTCGGAAAGGTCGTTCGACCGTCCACCAGCTGACACGAGTGACAAACATTCTCAGACGGAACAAGTCTGTTTCGAAAACATCTGCCATGGCGTTGTTGGACGTTGAAAAAAGCATTCGACAATGTTTGGCATGATGGCCTGGTGTTTAAATTGCAGCAGTCTTCCAATCTTCCTAGTGAAGATAATAAACAACTACCAATCGGACGGGACGTTCCGAGTCTCTCTGAATGGCATCACATCGGATTCTTTCAACATCGGTGCCGGGGTTCCTCAAGGAAGCATCCTTGGCCCCATTCTATTCAACCTGTTCACCTCCGATATGCCAGCTTTCCCTGATGGTGGATCGTTGTCTCTGTTCGCAGATGACACATCCATCGTCTACAAGGGTAGGGTCATCGGAGTTCTGACTGCCAAACTTCAGAGAGGCCTAGACGTCCTGTCTGAATACTTCAACAGCTGGGAGATCCGTATCAACGCGGCAAAGACCCAGGTCATTATCTTTCCACACTCAAAATCTCCCAGACTTGTTCCGTCTGAAAATGATAAGATCTGCTTAAACGGCTCAGAGGTGGAATGGTCCAAAGAGGTCGTGTACCTCGGGCTAACACTAGACAGCAAGCTTCTTTTCAGGGAGCACGTTGACAAAACCAAAACCAAGTGCAACATCTTGATAAGATCGTTGAATCCACTCATGAACAGGAAGTCTACCCTGTCCCTGAAAAATAAGCTTTCTGTCTACAAACAAATCATCCTTCCCGTAATAGAATACGGGATACCAATCTGGAAGAGTTGCGCCAAATGCCACCATCTTAAACTTCAAAGGATCCAGAACAAGATCCTGAGAATGATCCTTAACAGTCCCCCGCGGACTAGAAATTCTGAGGTCCACCGCCTGGCTGGTTTTCAGACACTGGAGTTACGGAGAGCCGACTCCATCGCAAGGTTCAGAGATTGCTGTAGGCGATCCGATCAACAGATCGTCAGGGATCTGGCACGTTAGGTTAAGTTACGTTAAGAAGGTAGAATAACAAATTAATACATTCAAACAACATACTTCACAAGAAGAAAATTGAAAAACATTACACAGTTAAAAACAACATGTACAACACAATATCAAAAAGTTCACCAAAGATGAAGAGCCATTCTGGCTAACCTCTTGCCCTGTATTAGCAATTGTAAACCACATAACAAATCAAAATAAAGAAGAATTTCACTACTACTACTACTACTACTACTACTAAAGAAGTTCTATCTACTGTTTCCAATTAGCGCAATTACTCGGGAATACTTGTGTGATTACGAACCTGCGTTTCAATAAAATCCTATTTTGAGAACATTGTTCATTCTTTAGTATTATTAGAAACTAGAAGGTTAGACTTTTTCACCAAACACACATTTTCAAGTCCCTTTGGAATATTCATAGAAAAATACATTTAGACGCAGTGCAAAAATGACATGAATAGGTCCAACCAAAATCCATTACTCTACCGGGGCAAGTAGAAACGCGTGGGGAAGGTAGATGTAGCTCTTAGCGGAAGTGAATAATCACTGCGATTATTTCCAATATAGTTTGCGGTTGTACACAATGCCTCTCAAAAATAATTTCAGTGAATATTCACTTCCACTAAGAGATACACGTACTGTTTCTACTTGCACCGGTGTACCTTATTTATGATGTTACTATCAAAACATTAAACAGGTGGAGAACCTGTATACGAGCTTTTGCTCAGACTTTGAAATTCAATAGCTGAATCCCCTTATTTTCAAACCAAAACCAAAAGAAAAGTCACAGTATTCTATTTTGCAATCATTCTACGAACACGCTGTAAAGTACATAATGATGATGCATGGTAATTTTTATTTTAGGGTTGTCCTCCAAATTGGAGAACAAAGAGGTGCTTAAACCCCGTATGATCGTTATACCCCTTCCTCCCCTACTTCGTTGACATATGAACCAACATTTTGTTCAATATTTAAGGTACCGTCTTCTGACAGGTAAAACAACTGCCTGTTGCGTTATCATAAAATGCAATCTTCACTTTCTTCTCTGCTTCAGAAACCTAATTTAAAGCGTATGATGAAGCTACTGAAAAAAAATAATTTATTTTTTGGCAATTGTTTTATCCCACAAGATGCATGGCATTTTGTGTACTAAATATAGTGAGGTGCAAATCAACGAAAAATGTGTGACGAAATAGTGTCAGTTCCTATTGTAGTCGATGTCGATGTCGAATTTTGTGTACATTGATCACAGCAAAATATTTCAACATTGATCAACCCAAGGTCTGTTCTGTGAATTCTTAACCATTACTTTAAATTTAAATACACTATCCCATGCGTAAGATGAACCGTGGTCTGATTATGCTAACATTAATTGTCGTGAACCATAACCGAAACATTGCAATACTTGAAAAATTTAAGATAAAGTATAATAATCAAAAATGCATGACATACATCAATTTTGCGTAGTTATACGTCATACTGCGGTCGTGTATAGGACACAACCCTTTAATTTTTTTTTCCATGGAAACCATCGAGAAAAATAAACCTGTTTAAAATTAAATTTGCACCTATTCAATAACTTACGGTGCCTTGAACAATAATCGCCTATCAATCTCTGAATTTCCTGGAGCACGTTGTCTTACCCATGTCCATGCAAGATTCCGCACGTGTCACAATTGATGTAACTGCCTTCGTGCAACGCTAATCGCTTTACCATCATCACCGTAGACAAATCTTCAAACGAAGTGCAGCTGAAGTTTGTAAACACTTGTAATGACATCAATCATGCACTCGGGGAAATTCACTTTGATTGAATCGCATTTCCAAACGACTTCGGCGTGCAATTTCCGATTTGCCTTCAGGTTACCTTTCTCTACCTCTTATAAAGATCGCACATTCAGCGACGTCTGTGCAAACGCGATTCTTTGTTCGACCGTCTGGCCCCGACTGCAGTTCGGACGTAGGTAATTTGTTTGTGAAATATATGATAATGAAATTCAACATACTTTCCGCAATCTCGCTTGCCTGCAAATCGCTCTTCTGCCAGCAACGTGCGGCTACTTGTAAATTGATATTGCAACCATAATATTTACACGAAATCGATGATCTATCCAGATGATCCAAATGCAGCATTATATTCATGCTAAATTTCTCTTTCTTTCTCATGCCACTTGCAGGTTTTAAATCCAACCGGGAAGCCCTAAAGTCGGTTTTTGAATCGCTCATCGTCACGACGCGTGGCGTCTTCCAGTCGGTCACGTACAGAATCCTGTGCTTTCTGTTTCTGACGCCGTTCAGCAAGCTGGTTAGCGCTCCGCTCGCTGCCGCAGTTTCAACCGGCAAGGATGGTCGACTCAGCACTGTCAGGGTTGGTATTGAAATTTTACAACCGTCAATTAATGATATGCTCATTCGTCTTTTCCCCCACCCCAATTGTAGCTAATCCTTAAACTGACACTGTCTATGATCGTTTCCACCGAAAAGGCTGAAGTAGAATGCGATAAGGGCCGATTTGTCCATTCCGCTGTAGATGAGATATCAGAACAACCAGCCAAATGCGTGGACACGGCTGTCCAAACGGAGCCCCCGAAAGCAACCGAGCCGCGGGAAATTGTGGAACAGTTTTTCGACTGCAAAGAAGATTCCAATGTCACACCTTCGAAACCATCATCGCAAGAACTGTTACTCAGATTACTGGAAAGTTCACCTCCGTCAGACAGCAGCAGCAGCAGCAGCAGCCGAAGCCGAAGCAAACAGCTTTCCCTCCAAGTGATCGTGTACGGCTGTGTGCTCTACTGTTTCGCCCAGTTATCAGTCCTTGCCTACTTACTGAACGTGGCGACGAGGATTCCTCCCGGACTGGTGTTTCTTATTTCGTCAGTCGCCTATATCGGATACGTGATGATGAGGGTAAGTCAAAACAAACTGGGACGGGCGATAGAGCTCGACTTCATCTGTGACGAATTTTGTTTGCATATTTGGAAGTGGTGTTCTTTGGACGATGTGGCCATAAATCATAGATTGGCAAATTGATAATTTGCGCAAGAATCGACCGCAGAAATGTAGTTCAAATTCAGACAAACAAAGGTCGTTGGGAGCAAATGAAGCTGTATGATGATTGCTCAGTTTGCAGCTTGGTTTGCATGGAGATTGCGCGGATCTGAGTTTATTTTTTTTTAGGATTCAGATTATGCTTTAAATGTTCTTAGAATTTTTAGTTTGATGTTGGCTGCATTAAGTATCAAATGGCCCGTGTGATCTATGAAGGGGATGCTTGTCCAGCCTTTTAGCCAAATGCCATATGGCCGAATGCCATATGGCCGAATGGATAATTTAGCCGAATACCGTTTGGTCGGCAAGTTTTCAGATTGTGAAAAGTTGCCAACGGTCTAACATTATCAAAAATATTTAAAATGCCAGACTTTGTGAAATAGCTACTTTTTTAGATCTCAGACTTAATTGTTGATATTCTGAGCTATGAGTAAGTAAAAATGTCTGGTCTTGACGAAATATTCAAGATTCTAAGAGAAGTATTTGAAACACCGGGCCTTTTCTGAACATGGAATTTGTTTCCGAGATCGGTTTTCAACATTTGTCGATATAGTTAAACGTTGAAAATTCGCTTAGAACTTTTCACAAGACTTTATTGGAATGTTCTTCAAAATTTCAAGAATCATTTTGCGCACAGCGTTTGTTTCAGTTTCAGATTATCTCTGGAAGTCCCTTAACATATAAATAACAGTTCAGACATTCTCTGCAGTACACTCCAAACATTTAATGGAACTCATTCTAAGGATCTCTTCGATTTTGTAGTGATTATTCCAATAGTTCACTGGAGTCCCATTCAATCATTCTAATTAAAATTCACTTAACCCAAGAGCAGTCGCATAAAGGCACCGAAAAATGAGCGTTATTTTTGCAAGTGAATATAAAAAAAATTCAATCTTTCTAGTGATGTACAAACATTTTAAAAATATCAAAAGAAATTGTTGATAAAAATCATGTTTCTGCAATTGTTTTTGGCACATGCACTCAGTGCACCAGCGCGACTGCTGAAAGGTTAAATGCACCTTAGAATTCTTATGCAGTTCACCTCAGAATTGAATTTTTTCTCACAATTATCATGAACTTCTCCTTTAAGCTCTTCAGAAATTTCACATGGAATTATTCATAAAAAAAACTCTAGAAACTCTTCTCGAGATGCCCTTGGAATGTGTATGGTTCTTTATAATAAAAGTGGAGTATTAATGTTACACAATTTGTCTTTATTTCACGCCCACACTGTCTTTAACTTCCGTTCACCTTTTCACTCCAGATCCAACTCCCCGTCTTTCTATGCCTACTCTGATCGATCATTTTCTTCTAATCCCCTGAGGTGTAGGACCCTACAATCCCCCTTAGCTTTTATTATGTTAGAATATAATGTAGCTATTAATAAGGAACATAGTCCTTATTTTTGGCTGGTTTCGTTCTAACACGTTTTCCGTTATGTTGCTCTTCTCCTGAACTCGTTTCTGCAACCGAAGTATCCGACACCTCAATCTTCTTCAAATGTGCTACATTCCGTCGATACTCCTTCCCAGATTTACGTGAACGAACTGTTGTATCCCCACCTACTTTACGAATGACTTCGAACTCTTCTGTTGGGAAATCGGTGTCCAGTTTATTGTTCTTCTTCATCCTTTTTTGCTAGCACACAATCTCCTACCTCAATATCACTTTCACAGGCTTTTCTCCTATTGTCAGCATACATCTTTCCTTTTTCCTTGATCACTCTGTCTTGATCTCGTACCTCTCCATCATTTAATGCAGTTGTTGGGACAACTGGTAACTTGCTCCTAATTCTCCTTCCAAACATAAGTTCTCCGGGTGATTTCCCTGTCGTACTATGATTGGTGGAATGATATGACAACAGATATTTCTGCATTACTGTTCTCCAGTCCTTTCCTAACTCTTTTGCGATCCGCAATCTCTTTAACAATGATCTATTCTGCCGTTCAACTTCTCCATTCATTGCTGGCCAAAATGGAATAGTATTGACAAGAATAATACCATTCGATTCACAGAATTCCCGGAATTAATCGCACTTTTCGCTGAATTGAGGACCGTTGTCTGCTCGTAATGTTGCAGGAAGACCGTAACGGCAGAAAATAGTTGCTAACTCCTTGATAGTTTCGGATGCGGTAATTTCTGTCATTTCACAAACTTCCATGAATCGACTATAATAATCGATCACCACTAGTAAATATTGTCCTTCCGGAAGAGGACCCAAGAAATCTACTGCAACATCGACTCATGGTTGATTTGGTAGTTCTCGCCTAATCATTGGTTCTGGTGGATTTGGTGGATTTGGAGCAGAAACCAACATACATCCTCTGCATTGCTTCACAAATCTTTCAATATCTTTGTCCATCTTGGGCCACCAAACGTTTGTCCGTAGATGGCTTTTCATCATCCGTATTCCTGGATGACCTTCATGTCCAATTTGTAGTACACGAGCTCGCAAACTGCCAGGAATCACAATCCGATCCATTCGTAGCAGAATTGTATCAATGATACACAGTTCATTTGCAATTACCTTATAAGATAATGGCAATTCTTGCTCTTGTCCATTTTTTATCTTTTCGACGACTTCTGATATTTCCTCATCAGTTTGACTTTCTGTTTTAATTTCGTTCCATTTTAAAACGACAGCCGAACTTGTCAACTCTGCTATCTCTCTTACAATCAATTCTTCTTCAGGATCGAAAGTATTTGACGGAAGGGTGGCCAAACGAGAAAGACAGTCTGCTATATTTTGTGGTCCCGGAATATGCACGACTTGATAATCAAAGGATTGTAGCCGCAGAACCCAACGTTCAATTCTTCTTTAGAAGAGGGTAGGTGGATAGTTCCGTTAGAGTACGGCAGTATGAAAATTGAATAGAAGTTGAAAATGAGCGAAGGGCCATTAAAGCGACAGTTTACAAGATAGACGCACATTTTTGCCTAGCCCGTACGATGTACGCGGGGACTTGAAGTATGTCTCCAAGTCCACAGGCAAAAATGTGCGTCCCTCTTGTTGCTCATAAACTGACTGCGGCTGTGGAATAGTTCTAGCGACGTTTTCATCACTACCTAAAGCCCCACGTTGGGAGAGCATTTCCAGTCGATGGTGTGTTATAATGCAGTTCTTCTTTACCCAACTATTGTGTTGCTCCTCTCGTCATGACCAACGTGATCATCTCAGAGAGAAAGCAGTAGGGTGGTTGTTGCGTGCTGTACCATCATCAGCATTGTTGACGGCTACTCCCGCCTTGAGTTGTTACATTCAAAGTGTTTTTTATGTTACTTCATACGCGAAGTTAATTCTGTCAAGTCAATTCTTGCACAAGGTTTTGATCGTGGTACAAAGAGATACTGCAGTGCTTTGCAGTCTGTTACCAAATCAAATGATCTGCCATAAAGGTACATACGAAAACGTTCCACACTCCATACCAGGGCCAGAGCTTCTCTCTCTCTGTTTGACAATATCTGCGTTCAGTATCAGATAATGATTTTGAAGCAAAACAAATGACACGAGACTCTCCTTTTTTGTTTGTTTGCAACAATACGGCACCAAGTCCAGAAGGACTGGCATCAGCAACCACTTTAGTTTTGTCCATTGGATCAAACAATCCCAGTTTTACAGCCGATGCTAACTTGTTCTTGATCTGCTGAAATGCATTGTCATGCTCCGTTTTCCATTCGAATTTTACTTCCTTCTTTGTAAGCTCCTGCAGAGGTTCAGCAATAGTTGCAAGATTTGAAATAAACTTGTTCATGTAAACTGCCAGACCAAGGAAACTACGAACTTCTGATTCAGACGAAGGGATATGATAGAACCGCGTTCACCTTTGTGCTTGATGGACTAATGCCTTCATTATACGGTGCCCTAAAAACTCCAGCTTTGTAACCCCGAAAGCACATTTTTCCCAATTCAGCTCTACGCCTCTCTTTTTGATTTTATCGAGTACCTAAAATAATACAACTCATTATACTATTGAATTCATTCATTTATTTATATATACATGTAAGTATGATTTCATTCTACCTTTTTCAAATTCATGTCATGAATTTCCTTGGTCTCTCCTTCTATAATGATATCATCCAGATACCAAAATGTTCCGTCGCATCCAGAAAGCATTTCTTCCATCACCCTTTGAAAAATCTCCGGAGCAGTTATTAGTCCAAAGAGAAGTCGTTTGAATCTAAACAAACCCCGATTCGTGATGAATGTTGTGATATCTCTGGAATCTTCGGCCAACTCCACCTGGTGAAAAGCTTCACGGATGTCAAGCTTACTCCACATTTTGCCTTTGCCCAATCGTGCGAGATACTCGTCCACTACTGGCATTGGGAAATGTTCTCGAACTACAGCCTCATTCACTCGCCGTAAATCCAAACAAATTCTTGGTTCACCCGACGTTTTGCCAACGACGACCAATGGCGATACCCAAGTTGCAGGTCCTTGCTTCACTTCAATGATATCGCGCTTCAATAATTGTTCCAATTTTCTGTTGACAACTTCTTCCATTGGTATCGGTACTCTGCGTAACGGTTGAAATACCGGTGTAATATTCGGGATCATCCTTATATGAGCTTGTACATCTTTTATCATACTGAACGGTTTTAGATCAGTATTGATGTTATTGACTTCGATGCCCACTTTCAGCACACCTAATGCCTTGGCTGTTGAATCTCCCAAAATATCTTTCTGACCTCCTTTCACAACGAAAAATTCAGCAAAGGTATTCCTGCTTCCGATGGAAACTTCGGCTTCGAATGTTCCTACTACGTCAAGTGGTTTATCGCTGCCATAACCCTTCAATACTCGAGATGAGCCTTTAGACGACTTTAGCACATGAACCTTCTTATTTTTCAACATTTCC